GGGGCTTCAGCTTAAAACTCAATTAAAAATCATTTAGTAACCAGTGCAGCAGGCAATGAACGTCAAAGGTTGGCTAAAATCCCTTCTAACTCTCTCACCTTAAGTCCCCAAGTAGCAGTGATCGCGATAAATAGCGATTTTATCGGTTGATTATCGCGATTATATCGGTGGAAATTTATCGCAATGTTATCGAATAAAAAATTGCAATATATGGCGATTAAATCGCTATACATCGCAAATTTTGTTCAATAAAATCGCGATCAATTTTCGTCGATAAAATCGAGATGAAGTCGTCATTTATCTCGATTTTTGTTGCGATGATATAGCGATAAATTGCCGGGCGATAAAATTGCGATTTCATTGCAACAAGATCGAGGATAATTGCTAAGATGTTGATGATCTTAGCGATTTTATAGCCGACAAAATTGCAACAAATCGCGATTTTTCCCGTTAAAAAATGCTACTTGGGTCGCCGTCATTTTTTTTTTAACCCGAGGAACTAAGGGGACTTGGTAAACAGATCCCATGCTCTCCTTATGCGGGTACTATGTCCTATTGTAAATGCCCCTACGGATGCACATGAGATGTCCAAGAGGGGGCGTTCGACACAACTGTGCTCACTTCTAAAGCCCTGACGCACACTTCTATTTCGTAAGAAATGAGGTGTAATTGAAGAAGAATGCTCAACTGTTGATATCGTCGAAACGCGTGAAGACCTCTTAATATACTCATTTAGTGTTTCAAAGAAGACAGATAAAATTGGCAATGTTGAAAAAGTCCAATAGCAGGAAAGGGTGTGGCGCCTCCTTGACCTTTCACGTCACTAATCGAAGTAATACAGAGGCTATTCTTAGAGATCATCCAAATTTTAAGCACGACGAAATCTTGACGGTAACTCACGAGACATTGCAAACTGCCTGAAAAAACTAGCGATAGATGAACCGTTGAATCTCTGAGACCTGACAAGCATTAAATTCGCTATTTATAAACATGCATTGAATTAACGAGCATTAATGGGATTCAGAACTGGGATAATTAGTTATAAGCTTCTCATTACAGGGTGGGGCCGAATTTTAATATCCCTTCATTAGATCAGCTCTGCTAAAAATGACCATGTTGGTAACATGTTGAGACCATGTTGTCACCGACAGGGTCTAAAACGCCCATGTTGGAACTTATCATGATGATGTCAACATGGTATCAACGTGATATCAACTTGGGGTAAAAGACCAACATGTTAGTAATAAGGCAAGTCCCAATATGATAAAAACATGATTTTAAAAGAATGTTGTTAACAATATTGCACAAATGTGGTAACATGATGATATCAATTTGGACTTTCTTACCATCATGATAAAGAGTTGATGTAAAGTTTGATATCTGTTGGTCCCATCATGGGAACATACTGATATCATTGCACTGAAAAAAAAAAGTTCGGTGATTTTTACCGAACCCTTCGATATACGATTGTTCGGTGGCACAAACCTAAGTAGGTATTGGGTGCTTTTTAACCAAACGGCATTACGGCGTTTGGAACACACAAACAACCGAGTTCGATAAGGTTTTACCGAATTTTTAAGGCCACGGAAACCGATCATTATTCGCACCGAACTTTCAGTATATATTCGGAGAAAGTCGGAAACGTTCGGTTGGCGTCTTATTATTGTATGTGTTGATCCATAGATATGTTCAAAGACGATTTTCTTATTCTTGCCTTTGTGGCTTTCTTAATTTTTGAAAGCCATGTTGATATTATTTCTGTGAGTAAATTTTCCTTTAGCCTTTTTTCTCTATTTTACTTTCGAAACTCATAGGTGCATTGAATAATATTTCATTTAAATCTGTGGCTTAAAGTCAGAGGAATGTTGCTCAATTAAGATAGGACCAGGAAGTAATTATAAAAATGATTAAGGGTCATTCCACGTCAACACAACCAAGCTCGGAACCCGACCCCCTCCGATTTGGCTGAAAATTGGTATACGGGGTCTTTACGTCATTCTAAGAAACTAATTTGAAGGGTTTTCCCATCCGACGCCCCGTTCGCGAGATATCGACCCCCAAAGATGGGGTGAATTTTAGCGATATTCAAAAACGCCCGTTTTAGCGATTCTCATTTTCTCGACTTCCCTCTCTTTGACTCTCTGTAGCGAGACTCTGTATCAATCGATCATACTTTGAAAGAGTGTTTCCAGACCCATTTTTCATGTAGATTCTGAATATGCCATCAAAATTGAGATAAAAATAATTTAAATGGCCGTAATTTAGAGTTTTTTAAAATTTACGATTTTTTCGCCATTCAATGTTCAAACTGCATTATCTAAAAAACAGTCTCTCCGATTTTCGATTTTTTTTTTATACTTCAAGCTTAGGATATATACTTTTGGTTGATATACTTTTTTCAATTGCCATCGGACGGTTAAGGGCCTAAAAAAATTCAAATAGGCCAAAAAAGGCCAAAAATTGGTAAAAAAAGACGATTTTTCACACGTTAATCCAAATATTTAGATAATGAACTCTTCAATTGTCGATATTTTTTCCCACTTTACCCTCTGACATGTATAAAAACGGACTATCAACGATTTCCATACATGCACCGATCGATTAACGGCCTGATAGAAACCGGGAACCGATCGAAAATCCTCGAAATTGACGCAAAAAGACGATTTTTCACACCGTAACCGATGCATTCCTGCAAATTCCAATTTTCTCTCTCTATTTCAACCTTAAGGTGTACACTTTCGAGTAATAAACCCTTACTAACGTGCATCGATGGGGCACGGATCCAAACGGAAATGAAAACCGGCCGGAAATGCTCAAAAATGACGGGAAAAGGCGATTCATCGCATAGTCAGGGGAGCATGTGTTCGAAAATTACGTCCCGTTTGCACGTTTGTGATGCAAGTTTACTCTCTTCATTTTAGTCCCTAGGATGAGAAAATCTTTGGTGGACTCTCCGATTTGATGCCAAGGCCCCAAAAACAAGATGGCGGCCAAAGTGGAGGCTGAAATTGAAATTTTGGTAAAACGGCACAAAACGTCAAGAGAGGTGTCGATTCTCATGTTTTTTGGATCGTGGATTCCAGAAAAATTGTCATACAGACCCATCGATCCACAGAAATGCCCAAAATCCAAGATGGCGCCCGATTTTGGCTCTTTAGTGGCTAAAACGTCAAATTCGGAGCAGAGAGAGGAGTTAACACTCTATATATCTGTTTTCGAAGTCACAGATTCCAAAAAAATAGGAGAAAAAAACATTTCATGCCATATGGTGCTGATTTGGACCATACAAAGGCCGAACGCGGCAGTCATTTTGATTAGAGTGTTTAGGAACACTCTAATCGAAATCATTTTTCGGGTCAGTTTCTATAATTAGCATCATTGGTTTTTTTAGGACCGGTACCCCTGCAGAATATGGGTAAAGTTCTCAAATACTCAATAAAACTATTGGTGATCAGCAAAGCATTGGGTTGGAGGATGAGCAGCAGATCAAAGGCGCACTATAGGTCCTTGGGGGTTCCGTTGACCCGGGATGGAAGAACGGATAAAGGGATCAAGGAAAGAAACATCCTAGCAGGGAAGGCTACAGCTATATTCAATGGAATCCTCTGGGATCCGCAGATTTCCAAAGAGAACAAGAGGAAAATTTACAACGTTGAAGACAAAAGTATTCTTACATATGACAGTGAAGTTTAGCAGCTGAAGGAACGGACACAGGGGATGCTAAGAGCAACGGAAATGGATTTCTAGAGAAGGTCGCTGTAGGAATTTTTAGAAGCGATCGGGTCCGCAATGAAAGAGTGCGTCAGATCATGGGAGTAGAAAATGACATCGTATTCGACAGCATGATCAGACAGCTTGACTGGTATGGCCATGTCAATAGAATGACGGACGAAGGACTGCCGTAAAAGATGCTTGATTGGGTTTCTCCTGGGAGGAGATATAGGGGATACCCAG